ACGAATTGACAGAAGCTAGGGGAATTCATCCTAGACACTGATGTACTGGGTACCACTATCCAACGAAACGAATTGACAGAAGCTAGGGGAATTCATCCTAGACACTGATGTACTGGGTACCACTATCCAACGAAACGAATTGACAGAAGCTAGGGGAATTCATCCTAGACACTGATGAACTGGGTACCACTATCCAACGAAACGAATTGACAGAAGCTAGGGAAATTCATCCTAGATACTGATGTACTGGGTACCACTATCCAACGAAACGAATTGACAGAAGCTAGGGGAAATTCATCCTAGACACTGATGAACTGGGTACTGCTAACCAACGAAATGCATTTTGATCACGCTTTACCGGTAGACTCTATACAATTACATGCTGGATTGAGAGACGTGTAAAGACATTCGATTTACAACCTCGTGCATTTACACGCTAGCTTCAAGCATGTGCACGTAAATGCATACGCGAAACAAAAAGTGACCACATGATCACAGTGACACAAATCTGTCTACCGTTACACTACCACGACCGTTACCATAGCAACACAAAGACAACATCGAGTTTTCAACGTCTAGTAGAGAAATCGGTGACATTTCCTACGTCGTCACGTGCATGTATTCCTGAATCTACTATTGTGATCACGCCAACAACAACTCGGAACGTAACGGATCGATCGAAATCGTACGCTCCAATACGAACAAAACGATCCTAACAACCATGTGCGCACGGCCTAACCACAAGAACTGCGAAATCATGGCAGAATGGCACCTAACATAAATCACTCTCTATTTTGATTTTTGGGAGTAACACGCGTACTCTGCGATTGCGTCAAATCTATCAGGATAATTTGATGAAACTCATACCTATGTACTAACATCGCCTAATACTGTCTACGTGCATAACAATCAGGGGTGGTGCTGGTGGTAAGGGGCGCAAGTACAGATGCTCCCCGACTTACGAACTTTCGGTGATACGAACAATTTGCCCTGAAGTCGAAAAAAAATTAGGCGCAAGGTTTAGTTCGCAGATCCGCCACGTGGTGGCGGCACTGTAGCGCGGGAAGCGCCGAGATGTAAACAATAGCGTGTTAGTCTAGGGGCATCGATCACCTGTGTGCACATGATCCACAAATTGAGTGCCCAATGTGTCCTACTGTACAATACTGTATACGTATGTACGCATGTTCGACTTGCGAACGACCGCTCGAAACCGAACCTGTTCGTAAGTCGGGGAGTCTCTGTACAGTAGCGGTGCTATAACACAGGCTCACCTCCCTTTATTGCGATTCGCTTCGCTCGTGCACGCGCGACGTTTGCCACGAGCATTTGGATGTTAGACTACATAATCTCAGAAGACACGCCCACAAGTCCCAACATCCCCAGCTCTCCTCGATGCCACGGCTAGAATCGCGCAAAACAATCATGCCGCGGTGCCTACGAGATAAAACTTGGAGGCGTGGTTCGCCTGCCGGCCTACAGGTGGCGTACACGAGGACTGATCGCGCGGCCATGTTGTCTCACGTCCCGGAAACGCCGCGGGACAACCCGGCGCGGAGGAGGGGAGAAGACGTGGACGACGGGGGAGAGGGGGGGAAGGGGAGAGGGGGGAAAGGGAGAGGGGGAAAGGGGAGAGGGTAGCACCACCTTTTTTTCAAGTCCCCGATGGAAACGGCGCCACAGCCTTCTTCCCCGCCTCCTCTCCCTCTTCCCCCTTCTCTCTCTCTGCTGGCATCTCCTTCTTAGATGTTCTAAACGGTGCCACACCCCTTCATCCCCGCCTTCTCCCCCTCCTCTCCCTTCCCTCGCTCTTCTTCCTCCTCTCCGGTAGCATCTCCTTCTCACATGTCTCCCGGGGGGGCACCCATCCCGCCGGTGGGACTCCCGACACCTCCCATGGGAGGCACCCCCTGCTGCTGTCCTGGGAAGTCCTGCTGGGTGTACTGTCCCGGTGTGGCGGGTTTCGCGCCGCGGTCCTTGAACCAGGTCGACTCCTTATAGAGGAACCAGATGTTTGCCATCCACACCATCCAGTTGAGAAATCCGCAGATCTGGAACACAGAGAGAACACATGCGTTGAGAACACACGCGTTGAGAACACATGCGTTGAGAACACACGCGTTGAGAACACACGCGTTGAGAACACATGCGTTGAGAACACATGCGTTGAGAACACACATTGCGTTGAGAACACACATGCATTGAGAACATCACTGTGAATCCGTGTTGTTGGTCTCGAGACCGGCCTCGAGGCCGGTTTCTTTGGTCTTAGCCTCGGCCTTGGTCTCTGAGTGCAATGACTCAGACTGCGGACTCGAGAGCGACTCGGGTCCGAGGCGGCTCGAGGCCAACTACATAGTACAATAACTGTACGTATTGTAAACACGCAGTTTACAAGAATTTAAAACATAAAACTCCTACCCAAATGGGAAGACACCCCCATTTTTGAAACAAACACATACATAGAAGTGAGCGGCCTTGTCGTTCTGTGACCCCCAATTTTTTTAATCAAAATTGGACTCGGATTCGGACTCGGGGGGGGGGGGTGTGCGGGCTCTGACTAAAAGCACCTGCTGTGAATGTGCCACTCTATACCTACAGACACAGTCACTTATTAATACGTGTGCTCAGCAGTTTGAGAAAGCCACATGATCTGCAACATGGGACACACGACTGTCGCATTCTACTAGACTGGAAGGCACACCCACATCTAATACATGCTGCTAATACATGATAGTACTTGAAATCACACACACACACGCACAGCCACGGCCACGTCACGCACGCACGCACAGACACGCACCGCGCGCGCACACAGCACAGAATGATTGGTTAGATAGCGGGTCCATTAAGACTCGAACATGAATCGCTCTTTGATCTCTGGCGGCCATGACGGGCAGAGTGCGATTGGCATTCCTAGTATTACGCAACCTCGCCAAATTACTGGGCGGGGAATTGTTACGATCAGTAAGCTTATACTGACGCAAGGAGCTAAATATAACAACAGGATGGAAAGCAGATTGGCTGTGTTGCTTTTCGGCCTTCAAAGGGCGCCATCTATGACCATAATCAGCTGAAACGGCTGTGCAGACCCAGACCGCAGAGACAATAGAACAACTAATCTGTTCTAGGCTCAATATGACCAAAATATGGCAAAGATTTGGGCCAGATATAGGCGGCGGCTTCCTCTTTCCTTGTATATATTTTAGCTCCTTGTTGGCGAAACCAGCCCAGCTATCCTCAGATATGTTTGAATTCAGCCCATCACACACTGTGTCACTGATCAAGCAACTTTAGGCCAGATAATTATTTGCTATAGGGAGCCTCGAAATACGCATGCTTTAAGCCAGGAAACTGCCGCAATATGGATTAATTTGGGTCTACGCTTGGTCGAGCTTTGCTGACTGGCAACAAATGTCAAGGAGGTGATGGACATCTGTCAGGCATAGTAAGCCAATTACCTACAAACCCCTTTCCCTCAGTGAATTGAATCATTTAGCACACTAATGGAATCAATTCTAGGACATGCTCGTTATCGTTAAACTTTGAACATGCCCGCACGCCACACTAACAAAGACACGCACGCGACGTACAACGCACAACAGCACAACACACAGCTGACACGGCACGCACGGCACACCACTGACACACAAACACCACAGAAGACACGACACGCACACACAGGCTTTCTCAAGAAGCCACTTATTGGCCATGGCGGCCCGCGCAGGCTATCGTCGAGCCCCGTCATCCATAAATGCACTAGCCAGCTCTAATATCATAGCCTGCCGATTGCTAAATTAGGCCATATATTAGGCTGTAAATGCATAGCCGCCTCGATTTCAACTAGGACCGTAAAAGCAGCACGACCCCATGCCTACAATTAAAAACGAATTGGAAGAATCCCTGACACATGGCACACCACACCAGACACACGCACCACACTATCGCACAGCATGCACCATAACACACGCCGCCACCCCTCCGCATCGCTCCCCACCAACCAGACCCACCCAGACCCGCCCAACCGACCCCGCCCACACACTCGGACGATGAGACGTTGAGGCTCGCGTAGTTTCCCCGTGAAGCCCACGGCGCAGACGAAGGTCTTGCAGTCCTTGCACAGCTTGATGACCTCCGACGGGCTCGTACCATACTTGAGGTCGCTGAGGCCCTTCGCCCACGCCGCGGACGAGATCAACCAGAACACTGCCAGCACTGCGGTCATGATCAGATCCTAGCGAAACACAGCAAGAAGGAAGCTGTTAGTATAAAGAACACGGAGGAGGTAGCTGTTAGTATAAAGAACACGGAGGAGGGTAGCTGTTATATAAAAGAAGCATGGAGGAGGAACTGTTAGTATAAAGAACACGAGGAGGGAGCTGTTTAGTATAAAAGAACACGGAGGAGGGAGCTGTTAGTATAAAGAACATGGAGAAGGAAGCTGTTAGTATAAAGAACATGGAGAAGGAAGCTGTTAGTATAAAGAACATGGAGAAGGAAGCTGTTAGTATAAAGAACATGGAAAAGGAAGCTGTTAGTATAAAGAACACGGAGAAGGAAGCTGTTAGTAGAATCAGCAAGAACGGAGCAGAAACAGCACAGCAAGAAGAAAGCTCGTCGTAGTCACAGAGAGAACAGCAAACAGATTACATTTTTCAAAATCTCAGTTCTATTATGGCGTCGACCATTTTCGTCTCAGGAAACCAATAGAGTGGTCCTACACCGTGTGCAGGGCCTACCCAGCTCTAACGTTCGACTTTAACCCAGCACGACTTTCCAATGCACGTTCTGCCACAGCTCACCCCTTTAACGTTGAACTTTAACTCGACACAATTCCCCAACCCGCGTTCGATTAGGCCTAAGAAAAAAAGATGTTTGTTTCCACTAACGAGCTAAGAAAAATTGGACACGGTAGGCAGGCAAAACTTTTTTTTTATCAAATTTTTTTTTTGTATTCTAACAATACTTGTTTTATACTTATAACAGCCCATATAATGACTTCAAAGTCAAATCAATGCATTCACCGATCGATATCACGTTGGGATTTTTAAAATTTTTGAAAAATATTTTTTAAATTAAAATATTTTTTTTTTCTTCCCAAAACAATAAAAAGTTTCGACACGGCGGTTTAAAATGGACTCGGTCGGGTTAGCAGAAACATCTTCTTTTTTCGGCTTTAGTATCACAGCTCACCCCGTTGGCGACGTTTGCATTCTCCCTGTAGGTGGGCGCGAGGAACAGGTAGACGAAGAGGCTGACGATGCAATAGAGGAAGCAGATGACGCCGACGGCTACGAAGAACTGAGACGGTCCGGAGTAGCTCTCGGCGAGGTGGAACTGGTCGCTCTTCAGCTCGCCCAGCGTCGAGTTGGGGCACTGCTTGTGGTCGATCCACGTGTTGGTTAACCTGTCAAACAGTGAGAACATGAGAGAGGAGAGAGAGAGGGGGGGAGAGGAAGAGGGGGGGAGAGAGAGAGCGAGAGAGAGAGAGAGAGAGAGAGAGAAGAGAGAGAGAGAGAGAGAGAGGAAAGAGGAGGAGAGGACGATGAGAGAGAGAGAGTAGATTGAGAGAGAGAGAGAGAGAGAGAGAGAGACAGAGAGAGAGAGAGAGAGAGAGAGAGAGAGAGAGAGAGAGAGAGAGAGAGAGAGTTGGGGCACTGCTTGTGGTCGATATACGTGTTGGTTAACCTGTCGTCACGAACACATCATAAGAAAATGAAAGAGAGAGAGAGAGGGAGAGAGAGAGAGAGAGAGAGAGAGAGAGGAGGGAGAGAGGGAGAGAGAAGAAGAGAGGGAGAGAGAGAGAGAGAGGGGAGGGAGAGCGAAGGAGAGAGAGGGCGAGAGAGAGAGAGAAGAGGAGAGAGAGAGAGAGATGATTGAGAGAGAGGAGAGAAGAGGCAGGGAGAGAGGGGAGAGGAACGAGAGCGAGAGAGACAGGGAGAGAGAGAGCAGAGCATGAGAAGAGAGGGAGAGAGGGAGAGAGCAAGAGAGAGAGAGAGAGACAGACAGAGGTAGAAGGGTAGAGAAGAGGACAAACGAGAGAGGGAAAGGGGAGAGAATGAAAAAATGAGAGAAATAAATCGAGAAGGATAAGAGGGAGATATTGAGTAAGAGAGAGGAACGGGGAGGGAAGGACAGAAGAAGAAAGGTAGAGCCTGAGAGAACTAGTGAAAAGTTAGCGCATACCTAAATGGGTAACTGTATGGAACTCTCACTGCCTTGTCCCCTACTGTTCCACCACAACTGATGACGAAGCTTGTATAAGAGTCGAATCCACAAGTCGTCGCAAACGCAAATATGGCTAGAATCTACGTCGCAACAGAAGAAGCTAAAATCAACTGCTATATTGTCGAATATTTTTTTTTTAATAGCTTAACTACAAGTTTTATACTACTAACTACTACAGATTTAAAAGTTACCACTTGAGGTGAAGTGGTTAACAAAATAATACGCTAGTATGCATACTTAGAAAATGACATATTAGGATAGAAATGAGCCTCTATCAATGCACATGATATTTCTATATTTCGACAATTCAATGTTTGCCATTACATTTGCAAAAGATGAACAAATGAAAAATGTTCTTACCCATTCTACAATCCTGATAAATCCTCTTGGCTCCTTCAGAGGGCGCCAGCTGACTCCCGTCACCGCCTTAAAATTAATAGTTTATGTTAACAAGTGCCGATGAAGTGAAAACAACTAATGTCGCAGTTGGATTTCGCTTCCGCCAAGTTAACCTGGGTCTAACTCGGGCCAGCCCAAATTACCCTCGTTCGATTCTGCGCAGTCACGTGGTATTTTTTGGGTCGTTACCCGGGGTGAGGCCGCAAGTAACCGCTAAGCCGATGCCGCTTCACTTGGGAAGTATCGACACAATTTCATTGCCCAACAAAAATTTAAAATCTTAAAAAATGCAAAAATCTTCAAGCACAAGTAATTAATTATGATGTCGCACTTACTACTGTGTGTTTGCTGCGATTCTTAGATTTCATTAATAATTAAGATGCAAGTTGCTATTCTTTTTTTTGCTTGTCACTGCATCCATGATGATAATTAACCCGGGTTAACCCAAAAACCGTTCGTTTATCTTCCCTAACCCAGATGCGTTCGATTTCTTACCCAGGTTAACCCAGGTGGCTCTGGGGAAGCAAATCGAGTGCACTAAACATACTTCAATTATATATTAACACCTAATTTAATATTAATGAATATTATAGCTATCAATAAATTAAATTAGGTTTAGAAAAACAATTCATTACAACTTGCTAAAATGAATAAAGACATGGGCATTTACTTTAGCACTTATATTCTCTGTGCAAAATCTAATGGTCATCATCCGCTATCAGGGCCCAAATATGACCACGGCACTAACAGCAAGTAGAGTGGTATCCACGGCAATAAACCGGTATCCACAGCAATAAACCGGTGCAACTGCCTTAGCTGATTTGTCTCCATGCCCATCAATAAATTCCATGCTACGTATATATCCCTCCCTGCCTTACATAGTATTGATAAGAAGTAAGTGGTCTTAATCACACTTCTTGGAAGGAAATGTTTGACCACTGGTGGCAATACTACTTGCTGTGGTGCCCTAAAATAATTGCAAATTCAACCTATACTATATTATATGTGCAGAATCACACCTTTCCTAATTGCTGGTATCACCCTGGCTATTAGGTACATCCGAAGTGATGCCGATTTTTGCCAAGTAAGTGTGTATCTAGCTTTTTACTAATTCCCTAACATACAGAACAATAATGGTAGGTCTAAGAAGATGTCTGCTGCTCACTTCCAGCAGCTGACACCATCGACTGATAAAATGAATCGCTCATGTCGCATCGATGAATTATGGTAATGTAATGCGTGGATGACTCAGGAATTGTGAGATTCGACGGTCGCACCAGCCGTTCATCGTCGTTGGCCTAATCTCGATACCGAATATGCATATTCGAATAGAACTCGCGATCAGTCTATATGTGAGACAACTGGGTCAAATCTAACATTAGAACCTCCAGTTTTTAATGGTGGGCATGGTATTAGGTTAGGATTATGGGGGGGGGGGTAGCATCGGGGTTAGATTAGGTGTTTAGATGTATATGTGGGAAACTGGGTTAAATCTTATGTTAGGACCTCCAGTTTTTAATGGTGGGCATGGCATTAGATTTGGATTAGGGGGGGGGGGGGTAGCATTGGGATTAGATTAGGTGTTTAGATGTATATGTGGGGCAACTGGGTCAAATCTAACATTAGGACCTCCAGTAATGTGGTCAGGGGGGTGATTGGGATAGATGGGGGGGGGGGTCGGATTCAGAGTAAAAAATACACGGGAGCGATGAGCGATTCGCTCTTCAAACCTCCAAAATCACTCCCGTGAGGCTCAAAATAGCTCCCGCAAAATTTTTGACGAGAGCTATTTTTTTCACAAACTTTTCAGAAAGAGCTCTCATGAAAAAAAAAGTAATTTTTCCCCTGGTCAGATTACAGTGAGGTTAGGAGTTAAAGTGATTACGTTACCGTAAATAGTAAAAATAAAAATATTATTTCCACTTTTTCACAAAATATAAGTAATTCTGTTCACATTTTATGGTTAAATTGCTGCATTATACTTCCTATTTTACTATATTGTTCGATGTGAACCATACACTCGTGACCCATACATAGCCCATAGCAAGCAATTAATGTTGAGAACATTAATTCAAATCGTCCAGGTTTTTTGGATTTTTAACTAGCTGAGAAACAATCTTATCAGGTAAGAATTTGACGATTTGTTTAGTCCCGTTAGTTCTTACTTTTAATGTAAAAAAATGGAATTTTTTTTTTTACAAATTTTACCATAGAAAATTTGTGACGTAGTCCCTTTAACATCATGTATATGTTATGTTTATGAGTAGAGTTATGATGGTGTCGGTTTTTGCATAGGAGGTTCTACAGTAGGAAGGAGCCCCGTGAATGCATAAATTAATGTGTGGAGACAATAAGCAGCTTAGATTGTCCACCACACCCATCACGATCATGATATTATGAGTGATGATAAACCAGTGAACCACACTCCACAGCACACTTCCACAGGCACTTAATTGGGCCGTTTCAATTGATAAAATTATGGTTAATAAAATAATACAACTTGTCAGTACTAGACCTACCAGTAGTAGTAGTACTAGTACCAGTAATTAATAGTCTTAATGTTTGATTTGACCTAATAACTTCACTTCAATACCGTCCAATACACCGCTGCAACACATAGCGCGCACGCCATTGTGCGCAAATACACAGTAATATAGAGAGGTAGCACAGTAATAACCTGTAACACACTCTATATTACTGTGTATTTCTGCACAATGGCGTGCGCGCTATGTGTTGCAGCGGGGCATTGGACGGTATTGAAGTGAAGTTATTAGGTCAAATCAAACATTAAGACTATTAGTATTACTGGTACTACTACTGGTAGGTCTAGTACTGACAAGTTGTATTATTTTATTAACCATCATTTTATTATTGAAACGGCCCAAGTGCCGAAGTGCCTGTGCACACTTCCCTGGTCAGGCTGTTGTTGTTGTTGTTGTTGTTGTTGTTGTTACGTCCCCAAGCAGTGCAGTATCAATAGTATATTCTAATTTCTAGATACGTTGCCTACGATCATATATAATTACGTAACCAAATAATTTTAATGAACTACAATGCACCTTTTACAAGAGGGTTTCCGCTCTGCTCTATTACTATTTATACTACTTGCAGTACTGGTACTACTACCCACCTAATACTAGTACTAGTAGTAGTAGTAGGCGTCAAAGTAGGCCTAATAAACGCCTAGCGGTGAAAATCTATACCAAAAATCAATAACGCGTTTTTCTTTACTCTACTGCAGATAGCATATCGCAGCGTGAACTAACAGCGAGACACAGTGCAACTGTGATTGCTCAATGCTTTCCTGATTTAAACGCACTAGAAAATGCATTGCTAATATAAGATTTATCACAAATAACGAGAGCGAGAAATTTACCCGAGATATGCTTCCAGTATCCATCTTTCCACGCAAATACCAAAGTAGGAAGCCCTTGATTGGACGCACGATACCCACGTAATGTCCATCCCCAATCCAACCAATAAGAATTGAGCTACTATAGCAGGGTTTGTGCACAGTTTTGGGTTCGGTGAAAAATATATAAATAAACATAAAATCGGAACCAAATACTAGTTATTTTAGTATTTGCTTTTAATTACATACTTTCGTTATGTTTTATGAGTTTTCTGTTAGAGTTTTAAAACCGTGGTAATGATTATTCTCGCATGACAGAGACAGTAAACAGTAAACAGTCTTTATTCTCCTCACGCCTGTCGTTTCTGCGGACCTGCTTGTCTGTAAACTTGTATACCGGCAAGTCATTCTCTTTTTATGTTTTCACATTTATTGCAGTAATTTCGGTTCAATTTACATTGTTGATGCGATTTGTATTCTGTTGATGGTATATTCTGATATAGCAAGTATACCACGAAGCTCGTCAATATTGTATAAAGCTACGTTCACGCGACGTATTGACTATTGACAGTATTGTTCTCGACCTCACCGTTGACTTCAGCTTTTCTATTACCAGACATAGACAACACCATCAAAGATGTTTCTTACACGATCTGAGTACGACCGCGGCGTGAATACGTTCTCACCAGAAGGCAGGCTGTTCCAAATTGAATATGCCATTGAAGCTATTAAGGTATGTTTTTCCTTAAAATTCAGTTTAATTGAAGGCATGCAGTGGCTACGGGTACGGTAACCGTATCTTAATGTCTCGAGGCTACAGGTACGGGAGTCCATTCGCTTTCATACTTAACGAGACAAAGATGGCGGCGGTGGTGCCAGATTTCGAAAAATAATGCCTTGGGAAATAAATTCACGATTTGAGAGTTTAGATGAGCTAGAACCCTAACCCTAACCCTAACCCTAACCATAACCATAAACCTATCCCTAACCCTAATCCTAACCCTAACCCTAACCCTAACGCCAAAAAGGGGCTTGAACGACCGACGGCTACCGTACCTCCAGCCACTGCGTTAATTGAAGTACGTTACTCGTTAGTCGTTACTGCATTTTACGCAGGATTTTATTTCCGATCAGCTCTTCCACATTAAACTGCTTTCAACTTCCACTTTAAGTTGTTAACTTATATTCCTTGATATGTGATATGGGCTTAAGCATACTGAATATCCCTGTGCATGTGTCATTGTCATATAGTTTTGTCATATGAATGACATTACCCCCCAATCCTAAACCTAATGTGTGTAAACCTAGACATCGTAATTTTTTTCTGCAGCTTGGATCGACAGCCATAGGAATCCAAACAGCAGATGGTATTGTTCTCGCTGTAGAAAAGAGAATCACCTCGCCACTCATGGAGCCTTCTAGTATTGAAAAAATTACAGAAATAGACAGGCATGTAGGTAAGGAACAGTCAAACCAACATGGCGATAAGTGATTAGGCAACAGTAATCAGGTTAAAATATGGCACAAAACAATAAAACATCAGTCTCTATGGTTAAGAAAGAAATGCATTACATTTACTAAAAAAGCCTTTGTAACAGGAATTCCTGTAAAGTGTACCCCGGACAAAGATGTGTGGACACACGAATATACCATCTGCCATTCTGTTGTGATACATACATAATAACATATACATTGCACTAGTCTATATACAGTGTAGCCCCGTTAATAACGCGATGGTTGGGATCCATAAAATGTCATCGCGAAAAAAGCAGGGTCGCACTAAATCGGGGTTATATATATACGTGGCTATGTAAGAGCAAAAAAAGGGGGTCCAACGACTCGTCGCATTCTATCCGAATTTGCGTTAAATTGGGGCGTGTAAAATCGGGTTTCCGCTGTAGTATATATACATTAAATTATTATTACACAATATCACTGTTATATATAATCATGCATGCATAGTAACACACATGTTGCCCTAGGTTGCGTGATGAGTGGACTGATTGCCGATTCGAAAACGATGATAGACCACGCTCGTGTGGAGGCGCAGAACCACTGGTTCACGTACAACGAAAGCATGGAAGTAGAGAGTATCACTCAGGCAGTGTCCAACCTCGCGATACAGTTTGGCGACGATGACACAGAGGCACACACCATGGTAAGCCCCTCTCCTCTGTTTATCCCGTTCATCCGCTGCCTTGGAGTATGTTCATTGGATTTCATGGGATTGTTAAAGAGACATGTCACCTACTGTCATCTAGTGGGAAGGCCAGGCAACTTTGTTCAACTTGACAGAGATAGCTAGGCCAGTTGTTAGAAATGTCATTAACAGGTCAATATATTTGGATTTATATTAATATAAAAATACTGTTAAATGTCAATGTTTTATGCGCCAAGTCCATGTAGCTAGGGAATCATTAGATCTGTACTGTTTTCGTGTTTTCGTATGAAGGTACGTGTTCTCAGTTGTACACAACAGAATCTATATATGAGTAATTTTAACTTGCCCTTTTCATATTTTAATTTTACAAATTATTAAAAAGAGAAATGTATACTCTCCTGTGCTTATTCCGTTCTTTCTCATTTGTCCGCATTGTTTACAGAGCCGACCTTTCGGAGTGGCCCTCCTGTTTGCGGGAATCGATAAAGAAAAAGGCCCGCAGTTGTAAGTACACTCCTGAACACGTCAGTGATTTTGTTTAAATGCCGCAAATCGTTAGATAACTAGAACCAAGTAAGAATCTATTTCTCACTTGTTTATTTAACAATGGCCACGGTTATCTGCAAAGATACAAAATAGCATTAATTCAGATACGTGTACATCAATAATATCATCTAGAAATTCCTTCTAAAAGGATGGATTTTGCTGTCTGTTATTGTTAAGAGACTGCGATTGCTTATTTGTAGATTCCACATGGATCCGTCTGGAACCTACATTATGTACGAAGCGAAGGCTATCGGGTCAGCATCAGAAGGGGCACAGCAGTCTCTCCAGGAACTATATAACAAGGTGAACACTGGTTTGTAACAAATTGCCGGATAGTTGACAGTCTGGCATGTTATTGCCATTGCTATTGCCGTACTGGTACATGTTGCTATTGTGGTACATGTTCGAGGATGTTATTGCTATTGATTTGTTTCTGCATTTAATGATGCAATTTCTATTGTTTTACTGTCGTGTGCAGTGTTGTTGTTGTTGTTGTTGTTGTTGTTATTGTGTTTGTTGTTGTTGTCGATAGTGCTATTGTTCACTTCATTAGTCGATGCTATTGTTTTACTTTGTTAGTCAATGATGTCGGTGCTGTTGTTTTTCTTCTTTAGTCGATGCTATCGCTTTACTGTCATGTTCAATATTGTTGCTATTGTTTTACTCTTGTAGTTGATGATATTGAGATTGTTTTACTTCAATATATTCATTTCATTGCCATTGTTGCTATCATTGCCATCATTGCCATCATTGCCATCGTTTGCCATCATGTTTCAGTCGCTGACACTCCTGTTGTTGCTAGTGTTTTACCACGCAGTGTAGTTGATGATATTACTGTTGTTTTACTTCGTTAGTCATTGCTATTGCTTTACTGTCACGTTCAACTTCACTGTTGTTGTTTTACTTCCATATATTCGTTACTTCTATAGTCAATCACATCGTTTGCCATCGCGTTGTAGTCGCTGACGCTTCCCGAAGCCATCGACCACGCAATGAAGATTCTCAAGCCTACTCCTCAAACATATTAGCTGTTGTTGCTATTGTTTTACTACTGTAGTTGATGATATTGATATTGTTTTACTTTGTATATATTCATTACTTCTATAGCAGCGTAAAAATACACGGGAGCGATGAGCGATTCGCTCTTCAAGCCTCCGAAATCACTCCCGTGAAGCTCAAAATGGCTCCCGTAAAATTTTTGACGAGAGCTATTTTTCCCACCGACTTTTGAAAAAGAGCTCCCGTGAAAAATATAGGTTATTTTTTCCCTGATTACTTCTATAGTCAATCACATCATTTGCTGTTGTGTTGTAGTCGCTGACCCTGCCCGAAGCCATCGATCACGCGATTAAGATCCTGAAGCAGGTGATGGAGGAGAAGCTGACGTCGACGAACGTGGAGCTCGCCACCGTCACGCCGGAGAAGCTCTTCCACATGTTCACGACGGAGGAGGTTGAGGAGGTCCTCAAGAACATGAAGTGACCTTCCTCCTCTTCCCATCCTTGTCTTAGTTCCAGCAGTCACGTTAGAGTAATGCACGGGCCTGTTGCTGTGAATGTTCGCTGAGGAGGTCGAGGAGGTCCTCAAGAACATGAAGTGGCCTTGCTCCTCTCCCTCCTCCTCCTCCTCCTCATCTTCCTCCTCTCCTCCTCGTCGTCACAGAGTCCGGTTGTAGCGTCAGAGTAAACGTGCGGTTGCTGTGAATGTTCACCGAGTCCGTGTGCAGAGAATCAGGCTGTCGGAGTGTGTGAGGAATAGCGTATACAACTCGGGCGCGTTGATGTTCTGAGCAGAACAGCGTTTAAATTTTGACGGGTCGAAGTTGTTTTGAGTTTGTGAACAGTCCGGGAGAATATTCGACGATTTTCGTTGGTCGTGTGAAGGTTTGCTGTGCGCGTTATGGTGTGTAGAAACAACAGCATCTACTGGTACATAGCCACGCATGTTTGGTACGTTTTTGTCAGCAACTGGGTGTGTCGATCAATTAATATTGATGTGTAACTAAAATTTGCTGTGCATTAGTTGTTGTTTTTTGGTGTTTTTGTGTTTGTTGTTTAGGGTTAGGGAGATGGGATAACACATATTCACGAGTAGTTTGCAGTGAAAAACGTTTATCGCAATAAACTTGCTTATCATTTGCAGTGCCAGGTACAATTTTCCCAGGCTCCTTCCATCCATCCATCCATCCATTCATCCGTCTATTCATCCATTTATCCTTCCATCCATCCATCCATCCATCCATCCATCCATATATCCTAACATCCATCCATTCATCCGTCTATTCATCCATTTATCCTTCCATCCATCCATCCATCCATCCATCCATATATCCTAACATCCATCCATTCATCCGTCTATTCATCTATTTATCCTTCCATCCATCCATCCATCCATCCATCCATTCATCCTTTCATCCATCCATCCATCCATCCATCCATCCATCCATCCATCCATCCATCCATCCATCCATCCATCCATCCATCCATCCATCC